GTCTCTTTATATGTAGATATCGTATTTACTTAAAATTCAATATTAAATACCGCATCGTGAAGGGATAACTTTTTTATTATTCCCTAGAGGGAAAAACATTTTAAAATTAAGATAACTAAACATCAAATATTTTTATTCAATATATTTTTGAATTCCGAACATTTTATACAGTGCATATTGTATCCACTTTAAAACTTTAGGGACTTGGATTATACTAAAATAATAGCTACAGTTGTAGTTTTATAACATAACCATGTTCATTGAAACATAACTTGTTTTAATCGAATACTGTGGATATCTGTTCGGAACTTATACTTTATAACAATGAAGTTAATCATCTAACAGCGATAGACAATTAACAATAACATAGTTAATATCCCTCATATTATGGAAAATTTACATACAAACATCATGGGAATGAACAAGAATATAAAAATCATTTCTTTCATTAAAACTTTTATTTCACGAAATTGACACGAGTAAAATTTATTTCAGTTATAAAAACTGAAAGTTTACAGACGCTTTCCAAATAAAGAAAAAGAACTCGTAGATCACTGAGTGTACTTAAGATTTAAAATAGTCATTTATCATTTTTTGTGGCGATAACAAAAGTTTTTACTACGTAATCATATTTTATTTTCTTATATTTATGTTTATATTTTCTTATCAATTTCACTATAATATTATCATTTAAATCACTCTTCACTTTTTCTTGATAAATATATAGAATGCAAGGGCTCTTACACCCAACTCGAACACATCCTTTATGTTGATCGACTGAATGAATTCCAGCTTTCGGTAAAACTCGTTTTTCTATCGTTTTTGTTTATTAAAAATAAATATTTCGTTGATTTCCTCATCGTTCCATAGAGACGGTATTTTTTCAATATAACTTTAATGGTAAACGAGTAATAAAGTGTGTTAATGACCAATGTCATTACTTCGATTCATTTTCCGTAACAGAGAACTTTCCTCGACAGTAAAATCAAGCAATCTCTTTAATGTCCATAAAACGATCGTAAATTCGATATAATTAAAATAAATAATATAAAGGTGTATCAAAGAATATAAAAATTAATTAAAACGGTATGACATCTGGTATGTATTAACAAACATGAGATGCAACATTACAACTGCAGTAACTCTAAACAAAAATGAATAAAGTTTTTAGAATTTAAATAATACTTTAGTTATTTTTATATTAGAAAGTTAGAAATAAAGTTTATGAAAAAAAAATTATAGAAGTTAATACACATAACTAGCATTTATCTTTCTGGACATTTTAAAAGTGGAATCTGATCTGCTCAGACAGTCCGTTCGGCGACCATGATTCTTACTTTTCTAATGTTCTCAAACTAATCCAAAGTTTTTTTTTTGGGTTTCAGTTGCTCAATCATATACACAATATATTTAACATATTGTCCATTGCATAGGAAGAGAAGGGTTGGTTTGACAAAAACAAAACACAAACAAATGTGAACTACAATGGTTGTGAATTTTATTTTGCAGGCTAAAGAATTATTATTTTAATAAATACGATATTTGGTGACGAGAATAAAAGGTATTTTTTTTCATAGCCTCTGAATGAATTGTTTTTTTTTATATTCATACCAACTGAAAGGCGATATAAAATCAAAAGAGTCGAGGAATTCCTAAAATTTTATTCATGTTTGACAGTAAAGAGGCGTGATATATAAAAATGCGTTAAGCCTTGGGAAAAAAATATATCGTATCATAAAATATTGACTTTGCCAAAAATATTTTTCCATTTTGATATACATTATTCAATTCAAATTGTTTAGCAGATGCCAGAATAAAGAACGAAGTTTTTAAAACTTTTTCAAACTTTTAAAATTATTAATAAAAAATATACATATGTATGTGCATTTTGTCTAGAAGTAAAACATGCACCTGATTTCTCAATGAACTTATATTTTTCTCTCTGAAAACCAGCCAAAGACAGCCAAACAATTTAAAACGACTTTGTGATCCTGCTTTATGTTGGTATATTGGATTTTATTATTTCCTTATTCCTCAACGTTTTAAGGTATATATAGGGAGAAAATGTTATACATTTTCCGAGATAGTAGACATGTATTCGTTAACGTATTCAAGTTGTTGATATTTTTTTAACTTTTCAGTCAGTTATTCTTCGTTTTGAAATTAAAAATACTCCGAATATTTTTACTCTTTACTTTTACTTGTTTAATATTTTTCTTGTTTGAAGCTTTCGAAAAAAGTGTAGGTATTTTTAGTGAATGATTTTAAGTTAATAACAAGTTTTTTTGTTCTTATTTGATGGTCGTTATTGTTTCATGATATTCTTTAAAATAAATAAAGAACTATAGAATAACCGAGTAGACGAAGAAATCATGGTTGAGGCAATTTAATACATTTCAAGATCTTCTTCTTCTTAATACTTTTTTTTTACACCAATATTGAGAAGTCCCATAGTTGAAGGTAATAAGTATATTCAGAGATTCATTTAATTACGACCACCCATTACATTTATTAAATTTCCTATAAAGTTAACCCTTAAGTTTAATAATCTAGCTTGCATGACAATGGACTGTTTGAATATCTAAATCAGATGGTAAACTTGTAAGGAATTCGGAAGTTAGTTGCTATATTGGTTTGCAGAATGCGAGATTGTTATTCAGAGAAAAGAGGGAATAGGAAATAATACAAGTTATAAATGCAACTAAAAATTTAAAAAATATTCTCCTGTAAGTTCTCTGGCAAAATCCAGACATGTCATATTAGAGGACAATTGTCGACTCTGAGAGTAAAAATAATTTATATATTTTTTAAATTCAAAAACGCGTAAAAATTTTTTACCATTAAAATAGGATTAAAATAAAAGTAGAAATATTTAATTTCATATTATGATTGTTTGAAATTTTCTTTAAAGGTTTTTTTTAGAAGCACATAAAATTAATATTAATATGTCAGTATTAAAAACGAACACGTAATAAGGAATGTGCAGATAATACGAGTAGTTCTAATTACAGCTGGAACTAAGACTTTTTTAGAACATTAAAAACGCCGACATTAAAACGAACTTGAAACTTCAGTTTCCAGATTTTATTTTTATTAGTCCATTGAATTATAAAGCACAAGAAATATTTTATAACAATACCGCTTAAGTAAAGAATCATCCAAATCATATTAATATAGGATTACAAAGTCATGAAAAGGAGACTGAAATAAAATGTTCTATATATAAAATGAATGTATCATAACGGATATATGTAATATGTTTCCTTATACATTTGTCATAGTAATTGACTGGAAAATTATAGATTAATTCAAGAAACACTTTAATAAGAATTTATCAACAATTGTCGATAAAAATGAATTCCGTAATCAAAAATATACTTTTAACAAGTAATTATAGAAACGTTTTCTGGTTTTTACTTTCTATGTTTTAAAACGATATGTTTTCGCACAAGACTTCATTAGGAGTACAAATTCAAATGAAACTTTAGAATCGATCCTGATTAAGTATGTGGAGTTGAAAACCTGAATCAGTACAAAATATATTTCCTGGTACTTATATACATACTTATATGTTACTTATATATTTATATATGTACTTATATACTTACTTGAAGCATAACTCAAACACTTAATAAGAATAATGACGACTGTATCTAAAGATATAATGTATATACATATAATGTTATAAGCTTTTTTAATATTCATAGGAGTTCAAGTATATTGTATTACTTAGTATACTTAGTATATAAAAAATTATCGACTGAAAATTATCCAGTTGTTATCTTTTTAAAATTTCCTTAAAAATTTTATGAAACCTGTAATCCGTATAATCTAAAACATTAATGAAAAATTTCATAATATGTGCTATACATATTTAGGATTTTTTTGTTTAAAAAAATGTCTATTTGTAAAACATGAAAGGTGCAGAAAAATCTTTAATATGCTTAATAGAAAGGAAAAGAACTTGCTATTTTCTAAAAGGAATACAAATCCTTCAAACTTTGTTTCACTACCCCTCTAAGTAGATTTATTAATTACATTTGTCGAATTTATTGAAACTCAACCGGACTTTAGTAGTTACTATCAGAGTAGAATATATTCCAATAACACCAAAGATACATATGTAAACTAGTTTTGTTAAAACAAAGTTTATATCCCAAGAAAAGCATATGACACCTAGATTCAGAATTGTTCAAATACCTATGTCGGATATTGTAATTTAAAAAAAAGTATGGTAAAGACTGTTACGATTAATTTCATGTCCCAATGACAGATTATGCAACAAAAACATGTATACGCGAACTTGTACTTGTGATGGAAATTTTTGTTTCAATGAAAATTATTAATTATTGAGATTTTTTTTATATAATCTTATAAAATGAGGGAAAGTTATAATCAATGTTATATTTGCTTTCAAAATTGTACTTCCGATTCTAAGATATGATGATGCAATTATATTAATTGTGTGTAAACTTTAAATCCCGTGACAGAGCTTAGGTTTTAAAAACATTTTTAATCATCCTGTGAAAGTATGACTATTAAATTTATTACCTGAATCAATTTCTGTAAAGCAATGTTGATAAAATACAATTATAATAATGGAAAACTAAGTAATATAATCTAATAATAAAAGCATAAAATATTGTTTAATAAAACTTTTGAGGTATACTAGAAATAATAGTTTTGTTGGCTTTCCACATTATTTTTTATAAAAATTTGTTGTTAGTTAATATAATCAATGTAAAAAGATTTTAATAAGGGTCTTCAATGAAAATGGTATAAATACAAGCTTAATTTAAGTTATTAACAACTTAAAAATTAACAGATCGCAATTAAAATTTATGATAACGCAAGCATTTTGTATACAGGAGATAAAGAGCATAAATATTTCGCTTGCTTATAATTTTTATAACATTCCGTCTAGCAAGTCGCACTGCGCGCTATCTTATTGATGGCGTAAATGTTAAATTTGTCTATATAACAATTGCTATGAGCCTCACCGTTTGCAGGTAGAACAGGTAGACAAGATTGATAACTTCGACTAGAGTCTCCAGTCCCATAGCGAATACCCACGGCAGCAGCATGAATTTTATATCCTATAAACAATAAATCATTTGTAAGCATTTAAATATAAATAACCCATTAAGTATTAGTTGTAAGTCATATTCTCAAAGTTCTCTTTAATATTTATGAATTGGCAGTACATTATCAACTACTTTTTTAATTAATTGTTTTAAATTGATACGTGTTCTGTGTAGGGTTAATATAATAACGTCATTAGTACATATTTAAGCACGATCCTTATCTGCCGATTTTAATATCGTGAAATAATCTCGGTCAATCGATACATAGAATTCAATGTGTCACAAGTCAAATGTTAGATATTATGGAATACTATTGAATTCTTCTGTCAATAAAACCTAATACACATTGCTGAAAAAAATAGTATTTTGTAGCATCTTTTTCTTTTCTTTTATTTTAACTTGATTTTTTTTATCATAACTAAAAACTAACAAACCTATTTATATCTCATAATCTTTAAGGTTAGCTGTTGCCACCAATTAATTTGCGTAAAAGTTATGGAAATTAGATTTTTATAAAACGTTATATGAAGCTTATAAAAAAACGTTTTGTTTTTGGGATTTACTGGTTGATTTTATTATAGTATATTTTAACCGCCGTTTCGCCTTTTATTTCGGCAGATGAGATGAAAGGTAGACGTAGCTTAATAAAATCTGGCATAAACCCCAAAAATATTATTTTATCTATCCTCCCGAAAGCGTTCAATATCCTTAAAACTAGTTATTTAAAGTTTTTGAAATTTTTTTAATAAAGTTAAAACACTGTTGTTGAAAATAATAAATAAGCTGTATTGATTTGTTTGCGTTATAAGCCCTTGTTTCGGCAATTCATACAAATATAAAGAATTAGAAAAATGTTGCATATTACCTTATGTACGCCGAATATCAGTAGGACGCACGCTATAAGTCCCAGTGTACTGCAAGCCAGCAGAGTGATGTTCAGCGAAACAGTTACTGAAACAAATTGAAAGAATAAAAAACCTCTGTAAAAAAATCTTTTATATTTAGCGTATATATTTTCTTGCATCCTCGTATAAAACACTAAATTAACGCATTCTACTGGCATCCAGAGCGCTACGCCAGAAAACTAAGTAATCGTTGGCGGTATATGATAAAATAACAAAACCGACTGACAGACACTCATATCTCGTCTGCCCGTGATCACGGTTGCTGTGAAGTAACCGAAACGTCGGGAGTATGTAGTTTATAATAAAAAATAAAAAATCGCGTAGTTAATCCGAAAATATTAGTTTCATTTAAATGAGTACTCGAGAAAATCTTAGATCTCATTATTAAATTAGAGCTATCTGTGATGATTTATATGTACATATATTTATTATTTTTTTGATAACACAATAAATAAAATGGGTTTTATTGGAAAATATCTATTTTTTTTTTAGCTTGAAAAATAATTGTAGCTTAAAATATAATAATAGCTTCGCTACTTTAAAAGCATCTTTCTAATCATGTAAGCGAGATGAATATTTTACTGGGTCAGTATGTACGATTCTTAAACATTTCTTTTAGGCCCTGATAAAATTATAAAAAGGAAAATTCTTAATATTGTTTATTAAAATTAATAATATAACATAATATGTATAGTCTTAAATGCTGTTTTAAGATAACTAAATTCAATTAAAATAATTTTTACTTATTTGAATAAAAAACTACTTCTTATTTGAATGATAGATTCACTTCAAGCACAAGTTTACTCACTGCAATTGAAAATATGCCCAAAATCAAGAATTATGACCTTTTATTTCTGGGTGATAAACATTTTCATCAATCGATGTTTCGATCATTGGACTAGACTTAACTAAGACTAGGCTCTCATGTAAACCCAATTTGTACAGCTTGAGTCCTCTCACTTTACGTTCATTATAGTGCAGAGTAGAGAGCTAAGAACGAATTATGTTTAAGAGACTACCACCATTATTTACTTCATATCTTTTCATTTCGCCTCGGTTATTATGATGGAACAGCCTACATCAATCCATTAGGCATTGTTAATTCTCGAACTCGTTACTAACATGCGAAGTCGAAGGCAACAGGTTTTGTGTGTACAACAATATATTATGCGGGCTGTAGTTAAACCGTGTCAAGTGGTTCATTCTTTCAGCGTGACCTGGATGAACACTGTAATACTCACCAAAAAGTTATTCGCTCCAACACAGAAAACGCATTCATTATTTCAACAATGTTATAATTTTTTAAGATATTTCTCGTAAAACCTTTTGTTGCCTACAATAATATGATATTTTATTAAATATATTCCATAGTATGAAAAAAAATGTTAACAAGTCACGTCCATGTGTCTTCCAGTATTAAAATTGCCTGTCGTAATAAAAGAAATAAATTGAATTTCATACTGTGGAAATGATAATTTAATTTAGAAAATAAAATATATATTTTTTATATTTTTTGTTAGTCATTAGTTACTACTGATTTAACTTTAGAAATGGCTGACGAGTGATTCACGTACACACAGCCCGCTCTATTAACAATGAATTTCAGAATGCTGATGATATTACATTGTAATTGTAATCGCTGCCGACATAAATTTGCCAAGAAAACGATTTGATTTTCATTAATAGCACATTTATAATTATACATATATTGGGTTTCATATTGCCTTCGACATTTTTCTTATTTTATTAATGTTTTTATTTTTCTTATAAAAGTTATTGTTAGAGATCATATCTTGAGTCCCACATTTTCGTAATCTTTATGTAATATTATTTCAAAAATTTAAGCCAGTATATAAAAAGTTATTGTTACTATTTAATAACAATGATATGACAACATTTAAAAATAATATTATATTAGAATCGATCGTGTATTTTGTTTCTTGTAAATGCAAAATTTAATATTGATCATTAGCCAGCTACAAAGAGATATTGAAAGTATAATTAACATAGTTTCGTTTAAATATCTCCTATATTATATAACCCGCCCTTAGAGGTAATATTATTTAATTTCAAATTAAATTTGATGTCTACTTTGGCCGTCTTAGTGAAATTAAATTTTCGGGGGCACCACCGATGATATTATCAGAGACCGGTGAATTTTCCCCAAAGAATTCTCCTTTGCTTTCTTAATAAAATTGGTAACTTAAAAAGTTTTCATAAGCTTATTTTGTAAATATTATAGTAATGAAGTGCCATTTGATGATATATTTATATATTTGTTTTTAAAACGGCAAAACATAGTTTTATTTATTGCGATTATTATTTTTTTCACTAGCAACGTAAATGATAAAAATACTAAAATATATCCCATGTTTTTTTTCATTAACTCGGTTAATGGTTTGTAGAAATTCAAGGTAATATTTTTGTTCTACTTCTAAAATTTACAGCTTACTTTATTTAATAACCTGCGAGAAATTTTATCAAATATAGAAATATTTTAGTACACCTGTGTTATAATACCGCATCTTTTTCTTAACCCTCTGTCTATACAAAAGTATTATTATATAATAAAGTAACTAATATGGCAAAACGTAGAGGTAGCGGGTATACACGTGAGGGTAGTTTTCAGGTCATCGCATCCTATCCATCGATCAACAGCGCCCGCTTATTAACTATATGTATATTAGACCGTATAATTAACATGGTAAGTTACTTTGGGAATTCTTTTAAAACGAAATTTTAATATACAGTCAAGACGCCTTCTGAGTCATTGTCTGTGGAGTATAAAGAACCCGTCTTTAGCTGGCCTGATCAATAATCTTACTTACTTGTTTAAAATACACCGCTACTTTGGAGCTTTGTGAGCAAAGTTAACATCAAAGTGATTGCGAAGAATCATGATTTCAACTTTTATTAGACACTCGGATTCACTCTAAAGTAATTAAGTACAATCATGAGTGCGGTTAAGCCAATGCAATGTATAATATAGATTTTCTTTTTCATAAATATTATACGTATAAAATAATTTGATTTATATGTTACCCTAAGTCTGGATAGAAATATATTTTTTTTTCTTTTATATTTTTCTCATATTATATATAATATCACTTCTATATTTTTTTTTGTGTAAGCAGTTTCTTAATATTTTATTTACCTAAATACCTATAGGTTTGCCGAAAGCTATCTGTAATAAACTAAATAAAGACGAATATTTCTACAGGGACTTTCAGTCCAATTTCATATCGTCCATTTACAAAATTTTTACGAACATCTGCTTGTAAATTTTCACGAATATTGTCTTGCCCGGGTTTCTAGTTACGTTTTTTTCCTAAATTCGATGGCTCTAATTGATCAGTAAAAAAGAAAACATACAATATTAACATTACTAGCAATATGTATAATATTCTCCCTAAAAACCTAAATAAAAACTTAATCTTCTTTTTTACATTTAAGGTAAGGAAGAGGTTGGTTGTAAGCTTATGAATAGAACGTGTGAACTAGATAAATCTACGCAAGCCGCCCTTTCACTACTTAGTCTTATACTTTTCGATACCTAATGTTTTATCTTCAAATATCCGTATGATTTCTTAAACGGAAAATTGTCAAAACATCGTGTCCAGAATTTTAGTACTGATACTGAGAAATGAAATAGCTTTTTGGGTATAAAAGCACAGTTTCAGACGTATTGAGTTAATAAAATAACATCCCATCTCTACTCAACTTTTCTTACTCTGTCAAAACTAATATTATGTTCTTCTTGAAGTGAGTGTTGCTAATTTCTACAGTGATAATTAGCTATTAGTTCGTAGATTATTGTTTTATATTTACTTACTGGGTGTAATCTTTTCCGGTTCGAGGAAGCTCTCTGACTCCGGCTCGACCATGTCTCCGTTCAGATACCGCTGCTCTACTTCGATAAAATGACCCATTGTCACTATGGTAACCGAGAAGTAGACCTGTTGAAATACATACATTTATTTAAAGATAAGTGAAAACATTATATGATTTATGAAGGTTTCTATTAGTTTTTGATTTAAAATACATTACTAATAATAATTCACTTAAGAAAGAAATACTAAATTAGAAATATAATAAACTCATTTTTAAAAATAGCTGATAAGTGCAGAAATGAGAAACCAATATTATCTTAGAAAAAAATAGTGTTTTTTTAATTGCTTATTCAAAACTATAAAACAAGTTACTGTTCATTAAAAGTCTAAGATTTTATAAGGTCTCACAAAGTTACATCTCAAAATAACAGTGAAATATTAAGTTTCAGTCGGAAACCCAATTTCGATACGATCTTAAATAAAGAATAAATAAACATAAGAAATAAAAAATCTTTTTTGGGTTAAATAAACCGACAAATGTTTATCAAAGAACCGAGAATAAAAGTAGCGAAATGATTCCGCGAGACATTGTTGAGGAAACAAGCCTTAGATTTGAGGAAATGGAAATTTTTAGTTTGTATTTAAACATATTGGTTTGTATTTATGAATATAAGTAAATATATAAAATATAAAGAGTAAATATATATGTCATATACACCGAATGAAACATATTAAAAGAAAAAGCTATGAAAATAACGTTATATTTATTTATTAATATTCTCACAGTACCCATTTTATTGTTCAAAATTGCGCAAATACCTAAGTTCAAGCAAATTTTAAGTCATGGCCACATGACCTGATTTTGTAAACAGAATGTAATGCAGATTTATTAAATAATTTTCTGTGATAATGCTCTGCGAGTACCAGCACTCAACAAGACCGTTAGTGTGAGAAATATGAAAATAATGTTCATTAATAAGATACCAAATTTAAACATATAACTAAAAAATTTTCTTTAAATTTTGCTTTCTTTTGAATAAAAAATACAATGAAAAACAAATCTTAACATAGGCCATTTCGTTGTGTTAAAAAAAAATTGGCGAAAGCCGTGATAAATCGAGTACAATTTTACGTCGGTCTTGAACAGATCCTGGCGCTTTTCTCTCGTCTCCCCTGAATGTAATTTTTTACTCTGATAGTCTAATAGAAACTCATTCTGCGTGTAAGTCTTACAAACGTATGATTTTCCGTGTTCCCCCAAGTCAATTGAAGACATAAATATATCTTGACGTTATAATGTTATATAAAGCTGTACAAGCTCTGCGGTTAAAATAAATTAAAATACACCCCTTGATATAATTAATTAAAATTTCATTTCATTCTATAAACACACGTTTAGGTTTAAGAATGGTTATCTTTCTTTGATTTTTATTTCCATTAAATAACAATTTAAATATTACATAATACATAATTATTATGATCATCAAATTGTTTTCTTTTTTTTATTCAAATAACTTAAAATTAAATATAAATTGTTAACTTAAATACAACAAGTAGTTAAGAAAGACAGATTGAATACAAACCACATATACATATATGTGGTTTGTATTCATTCATAATCGTAATATCATGTTTATATATATGTATATTAGGATATACATATATATAAACACACATATGACATACTAAAATTATCCTAAGAATGTCAAATAATTTATTGCATTATTAAAAAGAATGTGTTATAAAGAAAAATCTAGAAGGAGATTGAAATAAAAACGAAAAAGTTTAATTGATAATGGAATTTCTATAAATACAATTTAGATTCTAGAAGTGGTGATCGCACATCTCATACAAAAAAAAACTCTGTCATAAAAACTTTAATACTATATATTTCTCGACCAAATGGCCTTTTCAATTTAGTTATTATATTATATTTAATAATTACTATATTTTTACGGAATGGCTTAATATAACTAGCCATTTTCAGTTTGTAATTTTAATACTTATTAAGATTCAACACAATAAAGGTACTTAAAGATAAATGAGCATAAATTAAAGTTTAGAATGGGTTGTTTTGTTAATATCTATTGATAAGGGATAATGTAAATATCTTTCAAATTTTGGTAAAGCTAATAATAGTATTATTAGTGATGTTGGCTTAATTATCTAGTTTTGTTTTAATAAGTCATAAAACTTCTATTAGAATATTCAGTTAAGGATATTTTTGTAATTCTGATTCATACATGAACTTTTTCTACAAGGGGCAAAAGTGGAGACAAAAGTCCCTTTCCTTCTGAGAGGCTGTTGTCACTTGTCAACTTTTAACCGATAATACTTTAATTTCAATTCGTATAATAATATTATCCTTTTTTATTATCGTTAAAATATAATTAATAAAAGTATGCTTTGCGATAAAATACCTTGTTATGCTTTATATGCTATGTAATGTCCGAAATATGTAGTAGTGTAACATTCTTCTAATTTAGAGTTTATTCGGCCATTACATTCCTCAAGTCGATATAACATTTTTTTTAAATGTATCAAATAATCTCATTAAGAAACGCCAATATGAAATAAGACTTAGTATTTTTATATTGTTTGTATATTCTTATAAATATACTAGTTTACTTCAAAGATGTGAAAAATGCACATTTGTATGGTTTTTAAACTGAATCCATAAATGAAAATAGTAACCAAAATGACGTTTTATTATTATAAAGTGATGTAGATTACGAACCACCAAATCATGAAAATATTTTCATAAATCTTTTAACGAGAGTCAAAAAATAAAAACTAATCTTAAACAACATAATATCTATTTGCTTAAATAAAATTTTCAACTAGAGTCCTACGAGTATATGGCCTGGGCTACTCAATATCAAAGTAAAATTCGCTCTTCATCGTTGGTGATGTTAGGGAATCTATATTAAAAAAATCATTCGTTTTTTTGTTTAAAACGTTCATATAAACCCAGTCAATAAAATCAACTCCGAGCGTTTCTCAATATTGACACGTTGTTTCTGATGTATAAAGTAAATCTGTCTACTTTTTATTACTCACGACTTTATTGGACCTTCATGTGTTTACAACATTGTGTATTAAACTCTCAGAATAAGTTTTTTTTACTTGAATACCAAGGTATTAAGTATTTAGCCTTGGCTAAAATTAATTCAGTAACTTAAAATTATATATTTTTTTATGGTATAATATTTTTTTAATATTTTTTTTACGTTACTTTAGTGAACAATAATAACTAAAGCCTATTAATGAAGAAATATAATTATATAGCATATAATTTTGCTACTGATTCTTAAAGGACATTGCTAATTTTTATAAAAAAAGTATAAGTTTGGTTTTCAAGGAAAACTTACTACGAGCGTCGGGTGAAAAAAGTATTAGGAAAAAACCTACGTATTTGAGGATTAAAATAATTATTTAGTATTAAAAAACAACTGTTATTTACATCAGGTAATTAAACAAGAATTTATTGTAATTGATTACTTGCTGATTTTCTTAATTTATAACGAAAAATGTGTTAAAAATACTTATATTTCAATTATTATTTAGATTTATGACAATATAACAATCTTTTTATCTAATCCTACTTATAAATGTTACAATATAATGTATGGTAACAAACTTAACACAGTTTACATAACGTAAAAGCGTTTTGTGAAATTTACTTAGCCAAACGCTCTACCCGCTTCTGTTATTAGGCTGTGAAGAGGCGGTGTTTATATTTTTCTTATATATCAAATGATAGTAAACTTTATATTTTCTGGTACGGTACCTACTTATTAAGTAAACAGCTCACAGAATGAAACTGGACTGACACAGGAACTGTACCGAAAACTATTTTTTCAACATTTTTACTTATCTAGACTTACCATTCATCCGCTGGGATATATAGAACTAGATATCGATGTCATTCTATACTACATTTTAACAATTTGCCCCTACAGGATTTGGACTTAATCAATGTTTCTTCTTTAACAAAAACATGAAGTAATTTCTTCATTTTCAATTTATTACTACTACATATATTCTTTACTTTTTACCAAAATATGGACCAAACCCAGAATAACATCAAAGAATATTTATAAAAAAAACTACGAAATAAAAGGCAGTCTTATCGTTTAAAAATGACTTCTTTCGGGCAACCTTAGAAATCGAGGAATTTTTGATTGTTGATATTCATAATATACTCTAATTATGAAATGTGTGAAAAAATATACCTAGTATAATTAAAAAATAAACATACCAAGTCTAAGAAAAAAAATTGGCACTGTAAAAATTTTAGTTAAAAATTAAAAAATCTTTTTTTATTTAAGATGCTCATTAGAAGTGGAATTCTTATTTTTTATACCTATATAATTACTATTAAAGTCCGTAATTGGAATGTGATAGTGATAACTATGCATTCAAGTTAATCTAAGCAGAAAAACAAGTATTTAAATCAAATTCTTACAGTGAACACTATTTCATTAGGAATAGCAAGCTGTAAGGAAAGCTCGAAGTCCTTTTTGTTCTTGTCACGAATAAACGAGCAGCTCCAATGAGATAAAGTTAAAAAATACATTCTTTTTTATTTTATCCGTAGTTTTTCTTCCATTGGAAGATTCCATAAACATATGTAACATCAAAATAGCCCCCAGGTTGCACTAAAGGTATACTTTCTAAGTACATCCAAGAATTATTCTCAAATCTTAACAAATACCTATCTGATTTGTAATATTTTTTTGAAACAGAATTAATTTTTAAAAATTCATATTTTAAATTCTCTATATTTTTTTTTAATCTTGTCAATTATACACTCACATTCCGCATCATTAAGGAATTATTCCTTTTGTAATTCTTATTAATAACCTATATTATAATAAATATTTAATTTAGGGGCTAGGTTCAGTGAACATTTTAAATGAATATAAGCTTTTGTACTTCTACCCCTCGTATTTACGGCTACTAAACCCGGTTATGAAAAATATTTGTGATACGAGTAGTTATATATTACTTCAATACATCCGGGTTTATATGATAATAAAGGGGACTGTTCAGTTTCAGCTCTTTATAAATAACAATGTCTATTGTTCGTTATTTTGTACCCTAAATTATTATAGTTCTTGGCCTCAACACATCTGCAGTTTCATAAGCATAACTACATACCAACGAGGAGTAAATCGGAAACTCTGTTTTGATGTAACAGATTTATCATAATAATGAAATAATTATATTGTGCTTTATCTTACCATCGTATAAAGAGCAGCGGCGTAACATCCTCGACGAAGGCTCCGCCAGCAGCAACATGACTGTATGATGGGCATATTGTCGGCTTCAGGCTGCAACAATTAAATCATCATTCAAACAATGGAATATTATACATCAAATAACTAAAACTAAGAACTCTTCTAGTTTAACATTTTATGTGTGTGTGTATGTGTGAATATTATATGAGATTTATTTCTTATTCATGATTTAGTTTCGTTCTACGAGTATGATAATATTGTAATGACTATATTATATTATGGTCAATTAAATAAAACAAAAAAAAAACAATATAATCAGTCCAAAATTATTACACTATTTAACCGTCATTAATTTTACCATATATTAATATTTAATTTTCTATTGAGAAAAGAAAACATTACTTTATAAGGATTAAAATCAAAGGGGTCGAAATAGTAATTGAATTTGTCTTATACAGTTAAGAATAAATTTACGAGTTAAAACCTTTAATTATTTCAATATTCATAAGCTAATTGTAGTTAAAAATTATAGAATTGATTTTCTTTCTCTTAATTGAAATTTGTTTAAATTTAACATTCATATGTTCTCTTAATCATACTTAGCTAAATAAAAGCTTACATTTCCCATTAATTAAAGATTATGAGTCCTAACATCTGTAACATTTACAAATTTTAAATTTATTTCTATTCAAGGCTCTATTTGTATCTATTTTTGGTTTTTGGTAAAACACAGACATGAATTTTATATACATTTTTACCCCAAAAAAGTTTCAAAGCGAGCTATAGCAAGTATTATTCATAAAACGTGTTTCCCTGAAAAGCGCTCGAAGGCTTTCATTTAATTTACTGATGGCTTCTTTATCTTCCTCTTTACCCGTAACGTGACATATTTTCTATAGAGATTTAAGACAAAAACTACCTTACTGACTCTTCATCGCTTATTTAATTTGACCTGTAATTTTAAGTCCTTATATTTAAAAATAATAGAGCATTCCAAAACCCCTAATTTAATAAAAATTAAGATACAATTGAGTATTTTAATAATTTTTGACTTGACTCCGTTGTAAATTTTAAATTAAGTTAAATTTAAACTTCCATGAACGCTAAGTAACGAAACTTAGCTAAGAATTTAAGCCCGCTTTCAACTGACAAGCATGATCCCGCATGCATTTTGCGATCGCTTGTAAATCTGCTTTATTCAAGGCACAAAATATACAACATCTGCATTTATTGTCTAATATTGAATTATAATATCAATTTAACTATTACAAAAGTTAATAAGTCTGAGTTTAATTTACTTAAATACTTGATCCAACTTAAGCAAATTTTCACACCGCTTTGAATGCAGAATATCGTGAAATTAGTTTTGGTCACAGTTACGCTTTCATGCATTCTTTAGTAACTTATATACATGTTTGTTTAACTGAAGTATAAATTTGAGATAAACAAAACGTAAAATGAGTACAGAAAATAACTACGACTGTATTATTACAACCATTATTTGACTCCAAAACTTCTGAATACAAAAGTATTCTTTAAGTTACAGAATTACATATATGATTATTCAACAAAGCCTATTCAAAAAGTACCCTTATTTATATATTTTTTATATTAATTTGATTATACCACATGCTACACACTGCACACTTGTGAAACCATTTTTACAATTCTAAAAACATTAAAAAAATATTTTTTGTAATCTTGTTCAACGCCTCTTCAGCTTCTTTATTTTGGCGGCTGCTTCTTTTGAAGCGATTATTTTATAGATACTACATGATATCATAACCCCAAAATCTATCATCGGCTACAATCTTCTAGAGCAAATTTAGGTTTTTGGAGACAGAATTCCATAGTAAGTTAGCAACCGAAAATCAAAATTAAGCAAGGCGATAGGCGATTTAAGGCAACTAAATCATTGGCAACGGCCGAATAACAGGAGACAGTTGATATATTTAGGTCCTCAGCAACTTCTGCAATAGGACTAGCCAACATTACTTTCTTCACCTAAACAATATATTCATCTGTTGTTTCATCCGAGAATTTCCTATTTCATTGATACCGTCACCGTTCTCCGACAATATATACCAATAACAAATGTCAGGTTCGGCCAAGGTACCTTCACAGAATGTCACAGTGAACACCTGTGCACACACAATTTTATTTATGGTAAGTAGGCACAAATAGTTCTTGGTTTCTTATCATGAGAATCACGAGAATATTTGAGCATAGCATGGATGAGCCAAATGGGAAAGGGGAATAAAGTCTTACAGAGCTCTTTCTAGGAAATAAACTATGTATTTCAGCTACAAACGGCAAGACCCATTCAGAATTCTGTAAATATGTATATTCAGAATTCTGTAATACATGTATATTCTTATATATAATGTGAATTATAATATTTAATATAAAAATATATTTTAAAAAGATCATTGAATGGGAGGGATCGAAATGAATTATTTAAAAAATATTTTCAATCCTTAAAGAAAAATTGCTTATGATGAACTAAAGCTGTAATCTTCTATGAATTTACGTTTGATTTCAAAATTCATATCTAAATATATGCAACATATAACACCTATAAATAAATTACTTACTAAAACCTCATTTCCAACACAACAAATAGTGTAGTATTAGAGTAATATGTTTCTTTGTGTATGTAAAGTTAAATAACAAATCTAAAAATATTATATTGTTATTCCATTGCAAACGATAAGAGAAAAATTATTATATACAATCTGAAGTTAAATGCTCATCCGAAGTAACCGCGTAAGCGATATTAATATCCCATAGTAATTTATTAAAGAGGGTGTCAGAAATATTCACATTCATAATAAAAATGGTTTGTAGATGTATTGCAATGAGATTGTTTTCTTTAGCGCTCAAACTAATATTTTCCTCGGAAATATTTAATATGTTTAGGGGATACGAACGCGCGGAATTGCTCGACCTGATTGAATAATAGTCAACATGTCTAGGGATGGCAATTATATGTATTATAAATTTATTTAGAATAATCCCATTATTATACAATTAAATGAAATTATATTTTTGGATTAAACGCTTAATTAGTTGGAGTATGAAAACCTTATGTTGAATAGCAATATTATTCCGAAACTATAACGTATGATTTAGATTTTTATAGATATTATTTAGGACTATAAAACATTGTTAACATGACTCAGGTATTATAACATAACGATATATTCTAATCTAAACTGGATAAGGATAATGTAATCCTAGATAGTTACGTCAATCACTGCCAATTATTGATAAGTCCATGAGTAATCCACCTTTTACCATATTTGCAGGATACTCAACTAATAACTACAAAAGTAAAATATATAGAGTATTTGAACTTTGAAGCATAGTCGATGGCAGCCCTATTAGTTATCCAGTGTGAGAACATACCGAAGTGATTAATAAGAGAATGGGATTATTTTACGAATAACACAAATAAACTTTTTAATATATGAGCATTTCAATAGGTCGTCCTTACTCCCGAAAATAACAACTACGATAACATTGGCATTTTTAGGGAGTTTTGAGTACAATACTAACATTTTGGAATGACATAACTTGCTATATTTGAAACGACAACAAACGAATGTAAATAAATTATTTTAAAAATGGACACTGAACTACCCAGTTACTAAATAATAGATATTTTCCTTTAAAAATTTATTCTTAAAAAAAGGTCACATATCACATAAAAAACAGGATATAATAATAAACCTGCTGTTGCTTCCGTTGCACTTGTGTTAATTTAAGAACAACATTATAAATTCTTCAGTTCTGTATTGCGAAGGAATTGTCTACAATTAATTCAGAGTTGGACCGCGGTAATTAAAATTTAAAAGAACCTTCTATCATATTTCATTCTCTTGTAAATGAGGTTTGTGTTTTATAATAAATATAAAAAATATATGCTGTTACATAGCTTTTAGATCGTGTACTTAACAAAGAGCACCTGATATTCGGGTCAACTAGACAATTTTAGAAAATTTATAACGTACTCGACTACTCGTACTATCTAATAACTTGTCAAATTTTAATTGGCTGCGGTCAGTTTTGGAAGGAGTTTTTTTTGGTAATACAGTTATCAATTGAGTTGTAGAAAGTAAATTAGAATTTTGCTGTTACATTCCCTATTTAAAATAATCAATTTTTATAGTACGGTAGGGTAAATGAATATATTTCAATACGTAAAAAGATTATTTTAAAATTATAGATAAATATGCAACACACAGGTCATTTGAATCCTATTTAAAATAAATACAGTGCCAAGAAACTTGCAGCAAATGAGAAAACCATTCTACATGTTCTGAGAGAAAATTTAAGTTGAAATTTCATTGTAACGAGAATATTGTGTTCGTGAATTTTCAACTTCTCTATTCAAAAAATAATCAAAAATATCTTTGGATAGTAAAGGAGGTGTAAATAAAAGTTTATTTTCACTACAGATATTTTTCATACAACATAGTCGATAAAATTAAGTATCCTACAGCAAGTGAGTGATAAAGTGTTTTAAAGATAGAAAGTCAGATTAAGAGCAAGATGTAACTTGATTTAGAATAACGTTTAAAGGGACATAAACTTTAATTTATATAGTTGGATTTCAAAAAGTTTGAATGGATTTCATATACTTAAACTAAACAAGTAGAATTATCAAAAACATTAAAGTTCCATTCATATCTAAGATGTTTAAATAGTCTTTTTAAAAAGAGATAAATGCGAAAAGTTACTGAAAAGATATCAAAATATACATACATAAATTTATCTTCTAAGATTGGCTTTAGTCTTTAGATTGGCTTTAGCCTTAAAGATAGTGCACGATGAAACCTTTTACTTGGGGTTATTTTATTTGGCCACTTTTAGAAATGCACACATTATATCAGGATAAGCTATACAATTTAATATCCATGATTTTTTTATTGTGAATTCCTTATAAACTCATGTTTCACTTAAAAAAGTAAATTAAAACTGTTTTATGAATGTTGAAACAGGGAAATTATTTTGATGGTTATGAATATTGTGTACTCTGATAAAATTTTAAAATATACTGATTTGTTTTAGACATC